TGTGTGTGTGTGTGTGTGTGTGTGTGTGTGTGTGTGTGCGTGTCCCTTTGATTGAGACGCTGTGAGGTGGATGCCAAAAAACGCTCCTGATTGGCTGCAAGAATCCAGATCTTTCAACTAAAAAAGAGGAGTCGTTTGTCTGGAAAACACACACACACAAACCCACACACTGCTTATTGAAACCGTGAACTTTGATGCTCAGGATCAATGCAATTAGGCTGTTCAGGAAAACAAAGATTTCCTTTGGATAGATTGCTCATTTAACCCGATTATGCCAAATGTGTTATATTTGATAGATACGGTTTCTGAAGTCTCATGATCTAATCTAGTATTGGTTGATGAAGCTCATTAAATGGGATTTTTTTCTTTATGTTCTCAAAAACCAGGACGCAATCTGTTGAATGTGGAATAAAGAGCATTTTAGTCCCAACAAAACAACATGTCAAATGTTGAAAAATTAAAAAAACCACGAAAAAAAGAACACTCACTTATCAGCACTGAAGAATGGTTAGTGGTTAATGGCTATGGTTAGGTTTAGGGTTAGTGCTAGGGTCAGGGTTAGGGTTAGGTTCAGGGTTAGGTTCAGGGTTAGGTTCAGGGTTAGGGTCAGGGTTAGTGTTAGGGTTAGGGTTAGGGTCAGGGTTAGGGTTAGGGTTAGGTAGCATACAATGCAAAAGTGAGTAATTATAACCAAATTCTAACAAAAGGAGAAAAAGGAAAAAGGAGGCTTGTAGCTCATTTAAAATAACCGAAGTTGCCAAAGTGCTGTACAGGTAAAAACAAACATAAACATCTAACATAATTTACATAAATATAAGTCATTTTAATTAAAAATAAGGTGCTCTACCTCAACCTAAGGTTGAAATGTTAAAAGCCATGTCAGCTAAATGAGTTTTTAAAGAGGATTTAAACACCTCTGGGCAGATCTTATATTAAAAGGCTGTTTCAGAGCTTTGGGTCAGAAAAGGAAACATTGATCCGCCCCCCCCCCTCTGTTCTGGGCCTCATTATCCGATGTCTTCGGTCAAGCTGCTCACAAAGATCCATCAAAGCTAAACGACTCGAAAGCGTGTTTGTTTGCTTTTTTCGCTGTGGTCGATTATGTGGGAGTTCACAAAGATTTGGTGTCTGGTTTTCCCTGTAAATGTCAGGGGGGGTGGATCTTGGAGGGAGAAATCAGGCGCGGAGATGCAGAAAACAGGGTTTATTGTAACAAAAACAGGGCTGTGGCAAAACTATGAGCAAAGTAACAAAGCAAGTTTTAACAAAACTGTAAAAAAAAGTATCAAAACAAGACTGTGGCCAAAGTACAAACGAGATTAACATGGCAGTGGTCAAAACAAGGCTATGGCAAAGTAACAAAATAAAGATTAACAAAACTGTTGCAAGGCTGAGGTCAATTATGTGGGAGTTTACAAAGATTTGGTGTCTGGTTTTCCCTGTTAATGTCAGGGGGGGGGCCAACTTGGAGGGAGAAATCAGGCGCGGAGATGCAGAAAACAGGGTTTATTGTAACAAAAACAGGTTCAAAAACAGGGCTGTGGCAAAACTATGAGCAAAGTAGCAAAGCAAGGTTTAACAAAACTGTGGCAAAGTATCAAAACAAGACTGTGGCACAAGTACAAACGAGATTAACATGGCTGTGGTCAAACAAGGCTGTGGCAAAGTAACAAAATAAAGATTAACAAAACTGTGGCAAGGCTGTGACCAAAACATGGCTATGGCAATAAGGAAAACAAGACTCAGTCGCGGAGATGCAAAAACAAGGGTTTTATTTTCAACAAAAACACACTCAA